TAATTTGGTATATGTCGTGGCAAAATTGAGTGAACATCAAGGAGCCTCCAGTTGGCAGTGGACTTTTTCGGAGACCTTTCACGGATGCTGTGGCCTGAATGGAGAAGCATCAGAAGGAAGCACGGGCAGGTCAGTTTTTATGTTTCACTTTTCCAGAGAGTAGGAGTCGCCTGATACGGCAACCGAGGTGTGTGTGTGTGTGTGAATAGATGTGCTCGTAAGTGTACTTTTTAAGAAGGGAAACTCGCCAAGTTCCTGCTCGGGCAGAACCAGTAAAGCTTGGCAAAGGCAACTATTCCAGCTCTGTCCACCTACTTTAGACAATGCCAAGCAGGCAGATTCACAGTGAAGCTTGGCCCGTTCGAGGAAATAAAGTTAAGGGCTCTTGTAGGTTCAGATTGCGGGGTGGCCAGGACAACCCAGTCGTCGGGCATCAACTGGGCAAAGAGCCCGTTCAATTGACTGGGCAATTGGATGAAGTGGATGCCGCCGGCGGCAACTACAGACATGCAGACTAATCTCTGCGATTGTGCCATCAGACTGTTGTCATGACGTTTGTGTCAGCCGGCCAACCAATGCAAGTGTGCTCATGCAAGCATAGATGCTATGCAAAATTGGAATGACCATGTTTTCACAACGTCGTCGCATCGTCAGGGCGACACCTTGCTTGGTGTCCTCTTCTGGAGTAGTCATTTCAATATGCGGTGTCAAGCTGTGGACGTGGTTCGGCCTCGAACACATGGTCGGCAGTGAGAAGAGCCATCTTCGGAACCAAAAAGTGGACAAAAAAGACTAGGCCCGGCACAGCTAACAGATGATACAGGCAGAACTTGTTAGATCGGACAAACCGAGTTCTTTCAGAATTGCCTGACAACATGATTCAGTTCGTAAAACAATTAAAATTGGGTTATTAAGAGGAAAGCACAGAAGGTAGAGCTGCTCTTTCTTCTGCAATATCCTATAAAGTGGCTCAGGATACTGAGAGGTGTCGTCGAGCTGATTGATGAAGGTCACTTTGACCCCTTCTGTCCCCGAAAATGTCTGTTGCTCACTGACTTTGGTTGCGGAGCCTTACTTCGGAGCTAAATATTATGAGAACCATACCATTTAACGAAATTGAGGATGGATCCTTTGATCGGCCTGTGCTTTATTCTGGACACACAAGTTCGTGTCGCATTGAGTGGGAATTTATTCGTCTTTTGCAGTCTTGGTAGGGTGCTTAGTCAGTAAGTAGAAGCAGACCACTCGAGTCTAAGTCCAGCTGTATTCTAAGACAAGATTCACGGACAACTACTTCTGAAACGATCTGGTCAAAATGCGAGTCTTGATTGGAGGCTAAAAGAATCGGAGGAAGACAAACTCGAGTGAGTGGAGGTCTGACGAGCAGACTTCAAATGTAGAATGATGCCTTGTTTGGTGTGATTTGATGGAAATGTAGATTGGTGCTTTTTGCTCAAACAGTAGCTGAGCTAATGCAGATAGATCGGTCTAATTGCTTTACGAATTGGATGCATTTAGAGCCTATTGAAGAAGAGATTCAGCCACAATTTGAGTTGTCTGAAGTTTTTCTCTCATCGCACCGTCACCTATTCATGCGGTTCATGTAGTTTGTCTCATCCGGCCTTTTGGAAGACTTGAAAAGTGCAC